CAAATATTGGAACACTGCTATCATGTCACCCCTAGTCCTTTCACTAGATTAGACATGCTCCTGCAACTGTGCTTCATATATTTTAGCCTCTAGCCTGCTAATCAACTTTGTTTGCTCTTCTCTTTCCAGAATCTCAACATCTTTTTATATTGTGATGAGCAAAATACTAGTATAAAATAATAATATAAAATTTTTAATAAATGTTACACGAGTATAAAGTACTAGTGTCTAATACTGATTTCATTGAAATAATAAACACACCAGGGGTGGGTTCTACTTACCTTTACTACCGGTTTGCAACGGGATCGCATGGATTAGTTGAATTAGTTCTTCTGTGCGCTCTCACGTTTCCTGAAATATCTCCATTGTTGCAATAAGGCATCCCTGGTGCTCCTTGAGCTTGGTTGTTTTCTTGCAGAAATTTCATTATGCAAACTAGGTAACATCATCACTGCTAGTCAGTGCTTGACGAGGACTGATTATAATAACTAGTTTGGGTAATGAAACATCTGCAAGAAATCAACCAAGCTGTTCGGAGAGCACCTGTTGTGATCTGCCAGCAGCCTGCGGAGCTAGCAGCGGAGTCTGACAGTGAGGAGTCTGGGGAGGAACATGGGCCAGTCCTGGAGTCTGGGGAAGGCCTGGACGAGGGCTCTGCTTCAGAAGCAGAGATGGGGCCAGGGCCATCTGGGAATGATGCACGGACTCTGGAGCCCCCAGAGTTGGACAGCAGAGAGGCAGAGGATCAGGAGGAGCCTGTTCCTAGTGCACACATGCGCAGAGCTGCCAGAAGGCAAGAACAGCTAAAGCAAAAGGGATGACTTGGGAGTAAGACCAGGAGATGATTGGCCCCTCTCATAAGGCTTAAAAGAGAAACAGGGGCACTTGGGCTTTTTGCAGGAAAGCAACATTGCTAACTCTGTTTCCAGTCGGCATCTCTTGTTTGTTTCTGAACTTTGTGGGGCTTTGCCAAGTAAGGCCTTTGGTAGGGTGTCAAAGAAGATAAAGATTGGTGATTATCCCGAAAGACTTCTTCCAAAGGACTTGTTTTGCAACTAATTGGGACTCAGCTGGGAATGAATGTAATTCTCAGCTGTTACAATAAAATAGGTTTGTTTGGGACTAATTGTGTCTTGTAATGACTCAGTAAGCCTAGGTCACAACAGTACCAAGGACCCCTCATTTCAACCCTGAGCTACAAATATTCTCCTTTATTTTGTTGCAATAGATTTATGCATCTACATGGCATAAAAATGAATTTCTGAGGCCGAACTATTCATAGCTAAGATTTTAGTGGCAAGATCTGATGACACCAATCATGTCTATCACACTAGAATAAACTGATCTTTGGAGGCAGCTTTCTATATACACTTCCATTTTACAATATTCCTCTACTGAGCTTCTGATATGAAGAGGTTGAGAGACACCACGTTCATAGTCAGTAACGGCTATATAATTTCAGATGAGGGCTAAGCTGGGCCATGGATTTCCTAGTGTCCTTCAGCAAGAATGATGATCAGACTGCCTAAACCTGGTTGTGTCTAAGGATCCATGACAATGGAGGTTGGATTGCTATCCACGGTTCCATTCGCAGTTTTGGCTAAACATTTTGTGCATGCCTATTGTACATAGTTGAAATCTGCATCGTTAAAGTGTGGCTTTCACAATTTTATAAATCAAACTAAATAAATAGCAACTTCACTTTGAAAAGAATAAGAACTCTAATACTGTTACATAAGCATGAATGTTTTATGGGCTATCGCCAGTGAGAAATTACGGCATTCCGTTACTTGGGCTGCTCGCCTGGGAACGGTCCCTGAATTTTCATTAAAACGGATGAAGCCTTATATTTTAACTAAACATATTCATGGCAAATTATTTAACAGCAGTTGGATTTCTCCCACCCACCCCCAGATGTAATTTATAGCACAGATTGCATCTCCTCTGTCTGCATCTTGGTGCTCTTTAATTTTTGAGCACTTCTTTTGTCCTTGCTGTGCTTGAAAATGAGCAGATGTCAGGACTGGTTTCCACCTTGTAAATGAACTGAAATGGATTTTACATTTCCGTAAGCCTCCTGTGGCAAAGTAAAAGTTCTTTGTGTAAATCTCAGCATAACCTCATGTTGTCAGACAGGGTATATATATTCTGACAGCATCCATGGATTTTACTGGCTTCATCATGATGATAAAATATACACACAAACAACAGATATTACTAGGGCTGAGGCAACTGCGAGGCAAGATTGTTTGTCTTGTAAAAGAAAAGAATGATAAAAATACAAAAACTTTAGAAAATAATCCTGTTTTGTGCAACATCCAATCCATTTGGCCTGCCCTGCACTATTATCTTGACATAAATTACTCTTTGAGGATAATTAGTAGCTCTGATAAGGCTGATATCCCCATCATCATTTTGAAGGGCTAATAACAATTATATTAATTAAGTAGGGCAACACACCTTCGCTTTAAAATTTCAAAAGGAAAAAAAATGCACCCAGTCTGATTAGATTTCCTATTTTTGTTGGGGCTTTGTTTTGTGTAATATGAGTCAGAATTCTATTTCATTAGGGTTTTCAGTGGTGATAGTCTACTAATTAGGCAAAGATAACATATTAAAAGAAGCAGGATTGGTTTTCTCCGGTAAGTCTTATAAATGCTTCTTTGAGATAATGCTTGAGGTGCATTGATGCTTGTTCAACATTTAGAAACATCACGGTAAATGCTGTATTTCATTTATTAAACTAGAAGCTGTCTAAGAAAAGAGTTATGACATCGTTGCCCAGTTTTCTGGACCTGTTACAGCATCTTCTTTTTACTTTTCCATGGAATTAATTGTCTTAATTTTCACTATAGAACTCATGCAACAGATTATCGTTTTGTTTCTTTGTTCTCTTCATCCTTTTAAATTGTAATCTTTAGGCCAATGTTTCTCAACCATGTTGGCTGTGGAATTCTGGGAGATGAAGTCCTCACATCTTAAACTTGCCAAGATTGAGAAACACGGCTTTCGGCAATCAAAACAGTAGGCTAATAGTGACTTCAAATGAATATTTTAGCATATTTCCAACATTTTTTTTCCTTTGTACAATCAAAGGAAATATTCTTATGAATTCTAAATTGATTGTGCTTGCTCAACATGTTACATCAGAGCCAATTCAAAGCCAAATTATAAGTTTACTGTAGGAATCCCAATCTTTTTGCAGCAATGAGCACATTTGACATTTTGATAGCATCTTAGCACTTTTATGAAATGGTTGCCATAGTGAGCATGGCCAAAAAAAAAAAGAAAATCACCAATTACCAGAAGGCAAATTGCTGAGTTTCTCAGCAATTTAGGCTTCCTTTTATTTGGGTACAGATAAATGCAAAGCTAAACTTAAAACTCACCATAATATTTATTTATAAAAAATATTTCAGGGAATACATAGCAATCAAAAACATTTTGGGCATTAGGATAATTGGAAGCTGTGCTTTATTTTGCAACACACTAGTTTCACAATTTTTAATTATTATTTTTTTAAACTAGATTAATTTTAAAACAAATTCAAAAGGTCATGGACACCAAGAGAAGTTACTGGGGCAGTAGTGCCTATCGGTACCTAAATCTTATTATATTGTATAAGCCCTGACATTATGGGTAAAGGTGTGTGTGTGAGTGTGTGTGTGTGTAGCCAACTGTGGGTTATACACAATGTTTATTCAACAAACTTCACAATTCATTCAAAGTAAAATTCACAATTTGATTGATTCAGTAAACTGTGATCAAGTAATGATGGGTATGAATTTCACCAATCAATGATTAAAACTTCTTAGCTTCACCAGCTGGCTAAAATAATAAAACACAACATAGGCTGTGTTCACAAAACATACTAAATCCTAATTTATAAGCCATAACAGCTAGGTTCTCATAGCTTGCTAGCCATATGGCTTTTTCATAATCCATGATTAAATGTATCTTCCCAGCATCATCCAGTCATCACTGCAATGATATAAAGCCTGTTCTCATTATTTTGGAACAACTATGGTTGGATGATTCTGGATGAATTATAAATCAGTAACAGGGTAAACATAATATACTGAAGAAATCAGGCCTTTTTGTTACAAAGTCTTTTCAGGGTTTCTGTATAATTAATTAAAAGAGCCATGGTGCAGCAGTGGTTACAATGGAGTTGACTCAGCCTTCCATCTTTCTAAGGTCATAAAATGAGGACCCAGATTGTTGGGGGCAATATGTTGACTCTGTAAACTTAGAGAGGGCTGTAAAGCACTTAAAGTGATATATGAAGATGACATATGAATTACAACACTGAAACATCACAATTTCATATTTGCATCAGATTTTGGAACAGAAATACACTATTGAACATTTTGTATGAGGACATCATCCTAATTTGTTATGGACACCACCAGGATGGAACTATCCAATTTTCTTTTCAAACTACTTAGCTGTTTTTTCCCTTTCCCCCCCTTTTTTTTTTGGTAGGAAGTCCTGTAGAAATCTTACTTTTAATTTGCCATCCCGTAATGGCAAAAAAAACCACCAAAAACCACATTTTGACAGCAATACGGTAGAAATCTTCAGTACAGAAATACAAAAGTATGGGCCATCAAATCCAGCAGGATTTACACCAGAGGAGACATGGGCAAAAGTATATTATGTGGCTTATAGCTATTTTTCTATGCACAAGGATGGAACAAAGAAGCTTTCGCAAGGAAGCAGAAATTTACTTTAGGTGGGGATAAATCTCAGTGCCTCCTAGTGTGATCCAAACGCTGCTTGCTTAGTGCTATTGCTCTCTCTCTCTCTCTATCTGCCTGTCTGTCTGTGTCTCTCTCTCACCGAGTTTTATAGGCTCCACGTTGCACTTCCATAGGCTTCGGGAAAACGGGGGAAACAACGCTACAAAGCGAAAGGCGACACAGCGCGGACACGAGCTTCCAGAAGAATGTATCGCTCATCCTAAACTCTTCCTTTCGCCAGCAGGTGGCGTGCGCACACCAAGTCTAGCGCGTTTCGCTAAAAGATGGCTTCCTTGCCCACCGGAAAGATGGGTGACCGCTCCGGCTCAATGGCATACCATCGATAACGGGCGAGGAGGGGGACGTGCTCCAAACTCCTAAGCACGCCTTCCCTTATTCCTTGGGTAGCCTCTCGGTCCCGGGTCTGCGCCTCTATGGTGGCCGCCGAAGTCGCTTTGACAGCGGAGGATTAAGTAGACGCCTGCTCGAGAATTCGCCTTGTCTCCCCGTTTCGAGGCCCCCCCCCCTTTTGAGCAGGTCAGTCGAAACTCCGGGATTCCAGCCCCGCAAAGGCGATCCGGAGCATCGTTCCGATTGATGTTTGTGCAAAACAGGCTGGGTGGGAAGATGGGCTACAGTAGTGGTGGGATTCAATTTTTTTTACTACCGGTTCTGTGCGCGTGGCTTGGTGGACGTGGCTTGGTGGGCGTGGCAGGGGAAGGATACTGTAAAATCTCCATTCCCACCCCACTCCAGGAAGGAAATTGTAAAATCTCCATTCCCACCCCACTCCAGGGGAATGATACTGCAAAATCTTCATTCCCATCCCACTCCAAGGGAAAGATACTGCAAAATCCCCATTTCCTCCTCACTCCAGGGGAAGAATACTGCAGAATCTCCATTCCCACCCCACTCCAGGAGAAGGATACTGTAAAATCTCCATTCCCACCCCACTCCAGGGGAAGGAAACTAAAATTTCCATTCCCACCCCATTCCAGGAGAAGGATACTGCAAAATCTCCATTTCCTCCCTATCAGCTGGGACTAGGGAGGCAGAGAATAGATGGGAGCGGGGCCAGTCAGAGGTGGTATTTGCTGGTTCTCCAATCTATTCAAGCTGATGAAATGTTGTCAACTGTATTTCCGTTTAATAGGATGGAAAAAAAGAAAATTTTAATGAAATCCCGTGTTGCTGCCTCCAACCTCCTGAGAACATTACATTCTCTCTATCAGTTTGGACATTTTTGTGATGTTACAATATACACAAACCAGCTGGGTATCCAACAAGAATTTTGCGTCCACAAAGCTGTTTTAGCAGCTTCTAGCAATTACTTTAAAAGCCTTTTTCTCAATAATGAAATGAATAACGTCAAAAGCTGCGCAGTGATCCTCCAGGATATTGAAGCTGAAGAATTTGTCTCATTCCTGAAGTTTGTCTACACTGCAGAGTTGGAAATTGAAGTGGACAGACTGCACCAGATCAAGGAGGTCGCTAAGAGATTTGAGTGCCAAGATCTGCTTGAAATTGTTGAAGAAATGAAGGTTGTAGGTGGAAACTTGGAACCAAGTGTTCCTTTGGAAAAAAACAAAGGTGTTAGATTGCCTGGGAATCAAGCAGAACTTGGAGGAGAAAAAGCACAGTGTGATTTATCTCATGTTTTGGCTTCTGCACTGATGAAGAAGAATCATTTGGGGAAAGGAACGAACCATTCAAAATCAACCACCAACTTTAATGATATTAAAAATAAACGTGTAAACCCTAATGAAGATAGGATTGCGAGTTGTAATTCCAAAGATGAGTCAGCAACGGCGTCTGAGCATATCAGCGAGACTGGCTGTCCTTCAATAAACAAAGAGGACTTGAAGGAAGCCCATATTGCTTTAAACAGGATGCTGCCTGACCAAAACGATGAAAGTAGTTTGACGCTTTCTAAGGCCAAACTCAGAAAGTCAATCCGCAATATACCAAAAGCCTTGCCAAGATCATATGCCTGTGACAAGTGTAATCATTTATTCCATTTTGCTGAGCAGTACCAATCGCATATTGATATGGAGCATAGCACAAGCTTGGGAATTAAGTATAGCTGCAATATATGTAGCCAACTCTTTCCCAATTATCACAGTCTAAGGCAACACAGGCTCACTGTCCACAACCGACAGCGGACCTTCCCATGTTTGCAGTGTGACAAAAAGTTTCAGTGCCAGAAGGATATCGATGCTCATAGCCGCACGGTTCACAAAAAGAAGCAGCATCCTCTACAATGCCCCTACTGTGACAAAGTCATCAGCTCTAAGTGTGGCCTGACAGTTCACATACGAACCCACACAGGAGAGAAGCCTTATAAGTGTCAGTGCTGCCCAGCCAGTTTTGCTCAGAGGTCAGCCTTTAATACTCACGTAAGGTAAATCCTTTTTTTAAAAAAAAAAATACATAAAAAGCAAGACAACAGTACCAAAGAGAAATTGGCTTGCAAGTTTTTTAGCTTTGATGTGGTAGCAGAGTTCCTACATTAGAATTGGTCATAGTGGAGCTGGTGTGGTTTTGGTTTACTGTGGGTTTTTTTGATATAAATTTTATTAAAAAATTGACAACATAAAAACTAACTCAAAGTAATAAAGTTACTCGTAGGAAGACTAAGGAAGTAAGGAAGAGTATTAGGAAGCAAAGAAAGAAGAAATCGAAAAGAAAAAAATGTAAAAAGAAATAGAAAAACCTTCCATTTTTTTCCTGCAGTAGATATAAGTAGAATTACAATATTAACTCTTACTCTTTCAAAACTCACTTTTTTTCTGTTATCCAGTTTTTTCTAATCATAAAAACCACAAATCATGACTACATTTTTTCCATTTCATGCAAAAAGTCTATAAGCAGTTTCCCATCAGACATAAATTCAGATACTGATTTTTCTGTAATCAAAGAAATTAATTTAGCCATCTCTACAAGTTCCATCATATTCACCAACCACTACTTCATTGTGGGTAATGTCAAATATTTCCATTTCTGAGCACAAAAGAGTCTTGTTGCAGGTATCCTATATAAAAGAAAAGTTCCATGGGTTTTGATGGGGGGTTTTTTTGTTTTGTTTTGTTTTTTGAAATTGCCTGTCCATTAGTCCCAAAAGAAAAACCTCTGATTTCAGTTGTACTTTAACCTTTAATTTTCTGGATTAATGCATGTATTTATTATAGCCATTTGTTTTAGCTTTTTGCGTGTCCACCAAATAGGGTAAAATATCCCTTCAATGTGTTTACATTTCCAGCAGAGATTCAAAGTACTTTTATATATTCTAAAAGTTTCTGTCTATAATGATATCTCATTTTATAAAAAATCTCTTTTGAGGTTAGAATATAAAATGCAACTAATCCTCAACCTACAACCAGTCACTTTGCAACTGTTCAAAGTTACAGCAGACACCCCACCCCAAAATTACGAACCAGCCTCAAAATTTTGGCTGCTGTAGTAAACTTCCCCCTTATTCCTCCCACTGGGCCCTGCACCCTCCTCCTCACCCATTGTCACCCATCACACAGTTTGAAGATCTCTGGAGCTCAGATTTGGGAACCAAAGCAAGCTGCTTTGTTGCTGGGCTGTGCGGTGCAATCCTGGAAGTGGCTACCACGAGTGGCCACAATTCAATGCAGCCCCTTAAAAATTTTGGTGGCTGCTTTGGTGATTATACCACACGACCCAACTATGATGTGCTTTGCTTTGCTTTCTTAATGCAACCTCTGCACGTTCTGCAGCGTTTATATTATATCATATAACCTTGTGGGAAGCCCCCCCCCCCCCACTGAAAATGAAATATTTTGGGAAATATTAAAGGAGGCAGAATATTATATTTCCCCTAAAGGAGAAGAGGAGAAACATGTTCTTAACAAAGGCAGAAAACAGCCCCAGTCTTCCTGCCATAGGAAAACAGCCTCAAGCAGGCTGTTGTTTTGGAATGGAGGTTTTCGTATCATTCAGAAAGACTGGGCCAATCTATTCATAAGCAAAGAGACTCCAAATAAGCAACACATTTAGGCAAGCCAGAGCTGACAAGATTAGCTCAAATACCTAGGATTTGCATTTCCCATTTTGCCTATAGAGCCAGCCATGACCCTCTACATGACCCCATAGGAATCTGGCAACAGCCATTAAAGTATTAAAGGACACATTCTTACACAGGAAAGCCCCAAAGAATGTATAAAAGCCCACCTACCCCAACCCCATTTTTGTCAGCCACCCCAGAAACATGATACTGTCACTGAACTTTCTGGGCATCCAAATAAAAGAGTCTCTCTTTCCTGCAACCAACCTCCATTTTATTTCCAGCGTCTTTCTCACAGATTGCAGCCGGACCAGATTTTTCTTCCAATAAAGGCTTTGCTGGGATCCCAAACTATCCTCTTGTCAGCTCCTTTACTTAAATTATTTTCCCAAAAAAAATCCTTCAATTTCTTTTTACAATCCTCAACAACTTCGTCCTCCTGTAACAATACTTCATTTAATCTCTATTTTCATTTTTACTACAACAAAATTAAAATTCTGCTTTGTCAGCAGAATTAAAAAAGACAAGTGCCTGCCTGTTTTCTTTTTTCCTCTCACTTTTAGTCCCTTTCAGTAACCTTCACCACAGCAAAGCTCAGATTTCCACGGCATCTGAGCACCCATCACTTAAACTCTTTAAAAATAACTAGTAATATTCCCATGCCAGGCTGATCTTATTAGCTGGCTTAATGAAAAATAGTAGCAAAGCACTTTCATCAAAAGTAAAAAAAAAAAAAAAATAGAGAAAAAAAGACTGTTCCCCTTGTCTGTTTTTTAAAAACATTCTTATACCTTCTCTTAGCTGAGCTATTAAATCAAAGTCCTGTGTTGTTTTTTGTGATCTCAGAAAGATTTAACTTACCACAAGGAGTATTATCTCTGTGGCAGAAACAAAATCTCTTTTCATCTATAATTAATTACTTTCCAAAGTGATTAAGAAGTGAATGGGGGTGGGGGTGGGGGTGGGGGCGGGGGGGGGGAGAAAGCATGTAATGTCCATTTGGCTCCACTATAGTTAGGAGCATAGATGGAGGTCCAGGTCTCTCATCAACTCAACCCCTGAGCCAGATGTAGAAAACTTCCAGTTTTTGCAATATTTCAGAAGAAACAGAGCACATGTGGTTGATCGCTAAATCTTCCTTTAATCCAGGAAGATTGCAGTGAACGGAATCTATTCCTAATAGTCACAGCCTGTATTTATTCATCTGTGATGGTTCTCCACACCTGGAGAGTATCAACCTGCCATTACCGTATTTTTCATTCCATAAGATGCTCCTGACCATAAGACTCACCTAGGTTTAGAGAATGAAAACAAGAAAAAAAAATCTGCCTCTGACTCCCAGCGTCCATCCAGTATTCATCTGTCTAGCATCCTTACAGCAAACAGCCTGGTCAGCTTCAGCACATTATCGCAGTCCCAGGAGGTGGCTCGTCAGCTGAATGATGGCTGGATCCCGGCCTCCCGTAGCCCCACCGATCAGCGGAAACACCACCATTGCTGCCGCCTCTGTATCTGTTGCCTCTGCTGGGGAACACTGGAGCCTTTGCCGCCGAGCAGCTGATCGGCAGTTGGATCGGCCTCCCGGAATACCGCTGATCAGCTGTTCCAAGTGGCAGGGATCACTGCTGCCATTTGCTGCTGCTGCCTGTTGCCCATATTCGCTCCATAAAACGCACAGACATTTCCACCCACTTTTGGGAGGAAAAAAAGGCGCTCCCACTTATGGAGTGAAAAATACGGTAATTCCCACCAGAAGTCCGGTTTTGATTTCCTCTGTTGACTGAATCCAATCTATGTGGTTTTTGCACTCTGCTATATGACAGAGAGGGGCAACCTATGTGACAGCTGTGGTTTCTGGAAACTCCATTTGTAATTTTCAGAGCAGCCTGAGTGAATGGGGCTAAAGATTTTGAAACTCCTCATTTTGAAAGCTTGGGACAAAGTTATTGGGCAAAATCAGGCTGATGGCTCTCATTTGGGAAGATACTATGTGCAAATGGCTTTTAAAAATTTCTGTAAGGCTCAAAATACCATTTTCCTATCTATAAATTCTTTTTTCTCCAATAGAAAGATACACGAATCCAAGAAAGATGGGAAATGCATGCCAGCTTACTGGACAATAGTTCCACCAGCAAAAAAAGTAGATGTGATAGATAATAGAATCAACAGGAGTAACAAAACGCAACTCAAGGTGCCAAATAATGATCTGCAAAAGGAAATACTTGGCAAAGCTACTCAGGAGCCTGAGGGAGAATCTAGTAGATCTCTTCCAGAGGAAGCACAATCTGACAACCAATCAAACAAGAAGCTGGAACTAGGTACTGAAAATAATACTAAAAAGGGGGAAACTTGTAGACAAGAGACTGTGGATGGGAAAGGAAATGGAGAAACAGTTTATGAAGCAGGCGTATGCAGCAATAAAGACAGTGAGGCCTTCTCTTCAGATGATAATCACAATGAGGACTCAAATGATCACGATACAGAAGACCCCGAATGGGATATAAATTGCAAAGTTAACAAAAACAAGGCCATCCCAACATCTGCTTACATCATAACTTGTGCCAAATGCACCGAGAAGTTTCCGTCACGGAGGAAATACGTCACCCACTGCAAAGAAATTCATCATTCCTTGCCCGGGAAAGTATATCAGTGTGATGTTTGCAGCAAATCCTTTGCAAGTCACAACAGCTGGAAAGAGCACCGAGCCTGCGTTCACACAGAAGACAGGAAGTTTGCCTGCACCCTGTGCAATGCCACTTTTAAAAGGAAGAGGGATGTGAGGACTCACTCTGTGAGGAAGCACGAAGGTCGAGTGAAGCGGCCTCTCTGCTCTGTCTGTGGGAAAATCCTGAGCTCCAGAACAGCGCTTGTCTTTCACATGAGGACCCACACGGGAGAGAAGCCATATCAGTGTGGCATTTGTGGCTCAAGGTTTGCTCAGCCATCACAGCTCAAGATTCATACCAGGTCAGCTTCTTCCTTCTTCTCCTGACATGTTTTGTTTTAAAATATTTGTACCTGTTTATTATATAAATGGAACGTTTCCATTTATTTTTTTAAAAGGCAAAGCCTTAAGGTATGTTACTTGCATATGGTCCTATGCCCAGCCCTTATTAAACTGAATCCGAACCAGAGCAGCAATTCTTTCTCCCTGGTTTAATAGAATACTATTTCCTTGAATTGCTGATATTTTTTTCTCTGTTGCTTTTCATGAGCTCTTAAAACAGGGGTGTCAAACTTAATTTCATTGAGGGCCGCATCAGGGCTGTGGTTGACTTCGGGAGAGGGGACGACTGGGTGGGTGTGGCCAACTGGGTGGGTATGGCCAGCTTGATGCCACTCACTGGGCGTGGCCAACTGGGTGGGCGTGGCCAGCTTGATGCCACTCCCCAAACTGCTGGCATGTTTCCTCTTTGCACTGGGTAGACCGGGCCGAAGCCACGCTGGCCCGATGTTTCCTCTTTGCATTGGGTAGACTGGGTCAAACCGACATGGCCCAGCCCCTTACATTTTCCAGGATGGCCCTGCAGGCCAGATCTGATCTGGCCCGCGTGCCTTGTGTTTGACATCCCTGTGACTTAAAACATGTAGAAAAATAAGGACTCTTTATTAGTCAAGAATTTCATTTCCAGCATTGCATCTACCTTCATGTTGCCCTAGTCAAGAGAGTTACATGATGAAGAAGTATGCTTCCTATAGCCCTGGATATGGCTGCTGCAAAGTTACTGCCTAACTGTAATTTTTAATATGATATAAGGCTGTTATTAAATGCATAGAGGACAATGAAATAAACTCTTGTGGATTTAATTAGAATTATATTTCACTACAATAAAATACAGTTTCGTTTTAATTTAGTATAAGTTAAAATGGAATGAAATCAGCTTTTTTTGGGTTTTTTGGTGTTTGCTCCAACCAGAATTTCCCAACCATCAGTTTAAAATGTTATAATGTTATCAGTCCTTAAATGTTATATGCCTCTGAAAAAAAAAAGGAAAATTATTTTCTCCAAATTGTGGAGTGGAGGCAGCTTCTTTGTACCGAGTTACTTTCTTGCATACTTTTGGTTTGTAGTATAAGGTCTAGATGAACCCCTTGCAAAATTTGCAGCGAAATTTGGTTTTAAATAGCTTGGACAGCATTTCCATATTCCTCTGAATGCAGGTCACACACTGGTGAAAAGCCATATATCTGTGAGGACTGTGGGGCATCTTTTGCTGATAAAGGCAAACTTAATGGCCATAAGAGGACACATACAGGTAAGGCTTAAATTAATTTCCTGAACGTGAAAAAGGCCAAATTGATGGGTACAAAGAAGGGATATCATATTCTCTTTTAATGAGAAGAAAACCAGTACAGTAGTATGTTGATTCAAGTAATTCAACCTATTTTCTGATAGCCACATAGAGAATAATCTGGGGCTGACTGCATGTGTGTACATGTTCCTGGTTTCCTGCTGCTTGTAGGAGTTGGAAAACAGGGATCAGTTCCTCAATAGAAAGTTTTAGGTGGGTTGTTTTGTTTTGTTTTGCCAACTAGCTGGTCATGACAAGGTTCCAAAAATCTGCATATAATGTAGGCAAGGGTTGGAGATTGCCCACTTCTGTAATTTCAAGCAGTTACACTGCGACTTTTCATGCTGTTAGCCTGCTGCATTGCAGTGATCCTTCAGGAGAAAAGGAATGCTGAATCCTTCCCCGGAACATCACCTTTTCTTTTTGCAGAATTTTAGGAGAAATGGAGGAGTAAGCTTAAGCTCCCTCTGTCCATCACATGCTTTTGTTTTACCGAAGGAATCATTTGCAAAAAAGAAAAGGTTTTCAGATAATAGAAGAAAAAGAAACAGGAAGAGTACAGGTAGTCCTTACTTACTGACAGCCCTTGTTTAATGACCATTTTTAATTACACAGTGTAAAATAAAAAGCTTTGCAACCAGTCCTTACATTTGTGACCATTGCATTGTCCCATCATTGATCGCACCTTGCAACTGGCTTTTATAAAACTGGCTTTTATAAATTTTTAAGATGTGTCTTGTGATGTTTTACTTAACCACTGAAGGGGGAAGTGAGACGATAAACCTATCATGGTCCTGTGATGCTTCATTTAGTGACCATAGAGCTTAGCAACAGAGTTGCCAGTCTCAATTGTAGTTGCTGAGTGAGAACCACAGGTAGTTGTTGACCTACGACCATAATTGACCCCAGAATTATGGTCGTAAGTCATGCCAGTCATTAAGCAGCTCATCATGTGACTGCATCTTTTTTTTTTTTTTTTTGCATGGTTGTTATGTCCTTAGTCCGTAATAGGCATTGCTGAAAACTGGCCAAAAATGTCATAAATTGCAGTCATGTGACTGGGGTGGCGCTGCTAACAGCTGTATGCAAGCTGGTTGCCAAGAGCCCAAAATGGAATCACGTAACCATGGGGGGGGGAGGGGCAGGCTGCCAGAACTTCAAATCTGTATCATAAGTGGCTTTTTCAGGATCTGTCATAGCTTTGAATGGTTGCTAAGTGACCAATTGTATGTCAACTTGTATAATATGCAAGTATATATTGTTACAAATAAGCCCTTGGGCATGCAGGATACAGCAAACTGACAGAAGTTTCAGATTCTTCATGGCTTCACAAGGTTTCTCCGTATTATGAACAGTAAAATGCATTATTTCTGAAAGGTTTTTAATAATCATGGGGAAGGAAAAGCGAAATATATTAAGAAAAGCTTGGGAAAACATTGTTTTGAAAATCTCCGATGGGTGATCCTCAATTTGGATCGCCCTGCATTGGAATTGAAATATTCATTCAATTTTCTTTTTTGTCCTATGTATAATGTTGCTTATCATAAAAGGGAACATAGCGATAGCTACAGTAGAGTGATGGGTTCCTCCCGGTTCGGCCCGGTTCGGCCAAGCCGGTAGCGGTGACGATATGACGTCACTGAACCGGTTCTCTTTGTTCGGGAGCTGGGCCCTCCCGCCCCCCTGCGTTATTCTTACTTTTTATTTGGCCCTGCCCCCAATCTATTTGCTGCCTCCCGAGTCCCAGCTGATTGGCTAGAAGGAAAAAAACTGTTTAAACTCTTGCCGGGGGGCTTCAAAGGGCCGCCCTACAGCTGATCAGTGTTAAAAGGCAGTGTGATGGTAGACCAGTGCAATCGAAAAACAAATGGGTAGACGAGTGCCTCCAAAAACAAATGAGTAGACCGGTACAGCTCTGCAAGCAGTTAAAAGCCTGGTAGACCAGTACCTCTGCTAAATCCTAAAGAATTGTCACATGACCATCAAACCACGCCCACAAAATAAGCCACACCCACAGAACCGGTAGTAAAAAATTTTAGAACCCACCCCTGCTACAGTAGATACATGTGTATGTATGCATGTATTTCCTTTACAGGAGAACGCCTCTTCAAATGTGATGTGTGTGGGAAACATTTTGCTACCAATGAATATTTAAAATGTCACAAGCGTTGTCACATGGGAGCTAAGCCGTACAAGTGCGATGTGTGTGGGAAAACCTTTGGATTGAGAGCTTCATTAGCCCAACATAGCAATGTTCATGCAGGTACGGAAGAAATTGTGTATTGGATATGCAAAACAGGTTTCTGGGGTTTGGTGTTCACAGTTACCATAAATCCTATATGTATATCATGTAAAGAAAATTAGGATCCCCATAGTTTTTCTGTTTCTTTAAAAAATAATGACTTTCTGTTCATTAATTGCACTTAAAATAATTTAGCTCACAAGCCAAACATCTATGCATCTATGCAGAGGTGGCGCAGTGGTTAGAATGCAGTATTGCAGGCTAAGTCTGCCAATTGCCAGGAGTTCGATTCTCACCGGCTCAAGGTTGATTCAGCCTTCCACCCTTCCGAGGTGGGTAAAATGAAGACCCAGATTGTTGAGAGCAAAATGCTGATTTTGTAAACCGCTTAGAGGGGGCTGTGACGCGGTATATAAGTCTAAGTGCTATTGCTAAGTACTATGCCAATCCAATACATACACAAGCATGATCTAGCCCAGTGATGGCTAACCTTTTTGCCATCGCGTGCCAGGAGAGAGGGGGTGGGGGAGGTTCATGCGCGTGTGACCACCCCCATAATTCTATGTGCCCTGCCCTGCATGCGCAACCCCCCCCCCCCCACCAGCTTCTGGCATGCGATGGCCCGGTAGGCCCGTTTTTCTTTCTTACCTGGCTCCAGATCCTCTCTATGCATCTGGGAAGGCAAAAACAGCCTTTCCCACTCCCTCAGAGGCCCTCCGGAGGCCTGAAATGACCATTTCTCAAATCCGGGTGGGACAGGAAGTGACGTTTTTGCTGTCCCAAGCCTCTAGAGGCCTCTCTAGGAGTCTCTGGAGGCTGGGGGCAGCAAAAAACATCACTTCCTGTTCCACCGGGAGTTGGGAAATGGGCCCTTTCAGGCTTCCGGAGGGCCTCTGAGGGAGTGGGAAAGGCTGTTTTCGCCCTTCCCAGATGCATAGAAAGGATCTGGAGCTAGGTAAGAAAGAAAAACAGCCTTTCCCCACCCACCCCCCAGGCCCTCCGGAGGCAGGAAACAGCCTGTTTCCCTACTTCTGGTGGGCCCAGAAGGCCTGAAAATCAGTTGGCCAGCGCGCGCATGCGCCCAAGAGCTGAGCTGGCGTTCCCACTGATATGGCTACGCGTGCCACCTCTGGCACGCGTGCCATAGGTTTGCCGTCACGGATCTAGCCTGTCTTCACCTCTGCAGGTCACAAAGGTCAAAAAGCAAGATAGACATATGTTTCAAAAAGCGACATTAGGATTGGAAATGAACTAGCATTGGCTTGTTTCTTCACATTCATTTTCTTTCCAGAGACTCCTCCTTATTTCTGTGAGCAGTGTGGAAAGACGTTTACTCAGCAAGGAGCTCTAAGACGTCACCAGCGTATTCACACGGGAGAAAAGCCCTATAAATGCAGGGCTTGTGAGAGAACCTTCACAGATATGTCTACCCTGAGGAGGCATGTATTGGTATGTTCAGTGGTTTGTGCTATAAATTTTGTCTGTGGGAATAGGTCAATTTATGTCCCGAGCAGAGGTGGGTTTCAGCAGGTTCTGACCAGTTCTGGAGAACCGGTAGCGGAAATTTTGAATAGTTCGGGAAACCGGTAGTAAAAATTCTGATTGGCCCCTCTCCCACGTCCCAGCTGATCGGGAGGAAATCGGGATTTTGTAGTAACCTTCCCCTGGATTGGGGAGGGAATGGAGGTTTTACAGTATCCTTCCCATGCCACACCCACCATGCCACGCCCACCAAGCAACACCCACAGAACCCGTAATAAAAATTTTTGAAGCCCACCACTGGTCCCGAGGTCATTAAATAGTTCTCTCGCTGAGGGTTTTTTTTTACGCCATGCATGGCATTGCAGTCATCTTTCATTCTTCTGTCACTTTGTGCATTGTGACACAGCTGCTGGGCTAGGGAGGCAAAAGCAAAGGCACCTCTGCATGGGCAGAGAAAGCCCCAGTGATTTCTGCCCTGTTTCCTTATAATACCTACAACTCTGTAATGCACAAGGACTACACAATTTTGGAAAGACAAAGGGCCAACAACACCCACACAGTTTGTGGCTTCAAAGCAGTTTTGAAGTTAACCTTGGGTTAGATCAATGTTTTCAAACTTAGCAGCTTTAAGATGTTTGGACTTCAACTCCCAGAATTCCCCAAACAACATGCTGGCTGGAGAATTCTAGGATTTGGTCCACATATCCTAAAGTTCCACATATCTTAAAGATAACTGTTAGACCAGGGGTCTGCAACCTTAAACACTCAAAGAGCCACTTGGACCCGTTTCCCACAGAAAAGAAAACACCGGGAGCCACAAAACCCTTCCCATGCCTGACTATTCATATGTAGTTGAATTAAACATTCTGTTTTCTTCTGAAACTTTTCTTTTCTTGGATTTATCTATGGTTGGCCTACCGGGGGTTGAAAAGCTCAATAAATCGTGTGCCGGCGGGTGTCATACATTAGCGGTTGTGATGCATATTTTGAGTGACAGAGAGCCGCAGCAGAGGGGTGAAAGAGCCACATGCAGCTCCAGAGCCGCAGGTTGCTGACCCCTGGTTTAGGCTATTCAATGTAAGGGAGACAACTCTGTAGAAAGGGTAATACACTTGTCTTCCTGTAGTTGAATAAAGAATGTAAGATTTCAATCACTGAATTGCGAATGCTTTATTTTAAAAATCAATAAACTAATAAATATGAAACTTATCCAGATTTCGTTTTTTAAAAGTTAATGACCCTATTTATGGAGGATTTTTTAAAAATATGTTTTTATGTTTGACAAGACAAATGAGACCTTGAATAATGAAATATTTCTTTTTTCTTCTGTCATAGGTCCATGATCGGAATGCTCATTGGAGAAGTTTCTTAATAGATCTTACTATCAAAAAGGATCATAACTGGTCCAAAATAGAGACTATGTCCACTATTTGTACGGAAGAGAATTCTACTACAGCTTGGTCTGATTGCCAAGAGAAATGCTACACATCAGAAAACACAAATGTTAAAAAAGTAGAACAGATACCAGGCAGTAGCAATGTGAAAGAATCTGAACCTACCCTTATGCTTTTATAGCTATTAACAATTAAAGTTCAATATGGATATAAACTTCTCATATTGTTTCTATTTTTTCCCTGTATAGGAAGATTCTCCAAATGCCTGTAGGATCCACAAATAGATATGGCGTCAGCTTAGATATCGAATGTTTTCTAGGTGAGCTCTTTCTCTTAGCTTAAATGCTGATGTTTTAAACAGCTTTTGAGGACCAGACAGACATAATAAACAAGTTCTGTCAAGTTGCCTGCGATCAAACCACTATGGGCCATACTGATAGTCATGTGCAGGTCAGAGAGTGTTCATCCTTGTTTTAAAGGAAAGATATGGCCAAAGTTGAAAAGGGTAATAGTTAATGGACATGATTAAATATAAACGTATAAACATACAAAACACCCACCTCCATCAACAGGGATGTATGGCATTCATGTAAAATATTGTACATGGGGGCATGTCATTTTATGTCTTCTTTGAGAGCTTAGGAAATGTGGACTGGGTGTTTCTAGATATCCCTTCCTGCAACTGTTGAGCACAAGGACCAGATAGCCTCTAAAGCTAATCAACTTTGTGTACTTTAAAGTGCAAAGATCCCTGAGTTCAATTCCTAGTGGAATCCGGTCACCCACATCTGAAGAATTTCAATAAGCATAAAACAAGACATATGCTGTCTCCTTGTGGTGAATGTAATTTTTAGAGCAGCAATTCTCAAATCCTTTGGTCTTAAGACCACTTTAGGCCAGGGATCCCCAACCCCCGGTCCGTGGACCAGCACCGGTCCGCAGCATACCAGAAACTGGTCCACAGAAACAAACGAAGCCCCATCTGCAGGATGCAGGCAGCACACGAAGCCACGCCCCCCTCTGGTCCACGGAAAAACCTCTCTCCACAGAACCAGTCCCTGGTGCCCCCACAAGGTGGGGGGGCTCTGCTTTATGCCCTTACAAATGATTTGAGAATACAAAGAATAGGATATAAAGTGAGAAAAAGTCATTGATGAAGTGAGGGTTTTGATGTGGAATAGACATTTGAGAAAGGGCAGGATCTTGAAATTCACAGAATGTCAAGAAATATTGGTGTTCAATCTCCATTTCAGGAGCTGCAGGAAAACTGATTAGAGCATGTTAGATTGGTATCTGGAAAATATTTTATAGACCATCAGCTTGTTAGCATATCAGATAGGAGGCTGCCCGGGTTACTAAGTGATTCATCTACCTGAGCAGTAATCAACCAGTTTTGGAGGGATAAAATAAGCTTTATTAGAAATTCTTATTCAGATATCACTACCTAATTAATATTGTGTTACACATACTGTCAAGATTTTTGGGATACTGTAGAAATGCAATAAACAAGCAAAATTCTCTTCAAAAGAAGCATCTTGTAAAATAGGAATGATCTGGTATTGTGCTTAGACTTAAATGCGTATTAAATAAAAATGGTAAATGTTGAAAGTTTTACTACTCGTTTGAAGACTTTTTTGTTTCAGAGTACAATAATAAAGGCAAATCCATCAACTTTGCTACATTTAATTACTAACTTTTACCTGTACATAATAAAAATGCAAACCTGTATCCAATAGTAGAAAACATACATAGCTCCCGGTTAAATTGTTGAATCCATTTTCTCCAATCCTGCTTTTCTTCCTGAAGATGTTTTATTAACAGTCTAACATCAGTGCATGGGGAAGTGAAGTTCATTGACTGTTTACATATGGTAGTTTGCTCTACCAGCCTTGGTAAAGTATTATCTAAAATTCAAGGTAATAAACATAATAGAAGAAGAGAAGCAGAAAAAAGTAATCTGACTTATTCTATTACAGAAGTATAAGGTTTTATAAGAAGGTAATTCTTAAATTATATGTGTAAATGATACTTGCTTTTAGGTACATTGTAGAATTACATAGTCAGCTATTGCCTAATTAATGTTGCCTGAGAGAAAAGGATTAGGAAAAAGGGTGCATGGAAGAAATTGAAGGACTTTAGAAGTTCCAGTTATAAGTAAGAGACCTTGGTATGTTGGAAAATATAGTGCTGGAATGAAAAGAGAACAAGGTCATGAAAGCCTATGAAGATAAGACTAAGGCATGTTTTGTTGGATTTGGGGGACAAGAAGCCCATGCAAACATTTAAGAAGCAGCAGCTTCTGATTAAAGCAAGGTAAGTTAGTATTTACGAAGTGTTGTATAAATACGAAAAGCAAAACAAAGAGAAAAATAGATTCCATTACTTCAGAGCAAGCATTCTGTAGAACTGTAACAACTCTTAAAGACCACCCAATCTGAAAGAATTAATACAGATGTTTTTTGGGGGGAAGATTTCCTTACAAAGATACTTATGTAATTGGAGCACCTTTAGATAGAACAGTTGTAACATACAGAAGAAAAATGGGATAATTTATAATAATTGAAGGATGCTTCACACCCTACATTTAAAGTGTTTTATATAAGTAAGTACTTATACTACCATATTTAGCAGTAGTTATATAAGTAGTTATATAAAGTGAGAACTGGGATCCAATCATTTGTTTCTTTCTGATCTCTGTTTTTTGAGATACTGCTTTTAAGGCTGCTGTGCTCCCTACAAAGGCAGGCAATTGTGAAAAGAGGCACTAAACTTGGTGCTTTCCATGCAACTATTCCACATACTTAGTATTGTAAACAAATTGAGGGAGTTGGTTTATATTCATGATGTTAGACTCTTGTTAAGCTTGCTGGTATTCTACTTTTGGGTTGGGTGATTTGCATTCCCATGAGGCCAGGTGAAGCCGTTAAACAGTTGCTGTCTCTCATTTGAAAAGTTATTCTAATCTTTTACAAGGTTTATTACTTTTAGACTGCTTACAAAACACACCAACGAAAGTTTACTACTTTGTGACTTTGCAGAGATACAAATATGTTAAACTCAGGTTAACAAAACACAACATGCAATGAATGCCTTATGTTGGCTGGTTTATCCTCTGATGTTGCAAGGCCAAACCATCCATTCCCATTGTAGTCTAGCCAGGTTACTGAGTGAATCCAACTATATTTTTAGCCAGGGTTTACAATTACTATGCTTGGAAGGGTCAGTGGTAAAAGAAAACAAAGTCGCCAAAAAGTAGGTGGCTAGATGCTATCAAAGCCAACACCAACCGCATAAAACAACTGAAAGAAGCCATACAAGATGGGAAAATGTGGAGCTAGTCCATAGAATCACTAAAAATTGGACACGATGAAAGGCTGTCATCATCATCATCATCATCATGCTATGTAAAGATAATCTCAACTGGACATGGACAAGCCAGATGCTGCTGCCCTATTTTTAGAAGATTGTTTGTATGACCACTTTGAAAATATAGACTATACACAAACAGCAAAATCAAATAATCTTTTTTATTGGTATCCTGCTATGCTTGAAGGCATCCAAGCCAGTACTGGCAGTCTTTGACTTAAAAAATTAATTCAGTGAATGTTCAAAGTTACAATGGTAATGAAAATGTGTCTTATGACTCTTTTTCATACTTGTGACTGTTGCAGCATCCCCGTGGTCACATGATCAAAATGGAGACATTGGCACCTGACTCTCATTTATGACAGTTGCAGTGTCCTGGGGCCATGTAGTCTCCTTTTGCCACCTTCTGATCAGCAGTGTCAACGGGGAAGCCATATTCACTTAACAGCCGTGTTACTAAATGAAGCACTGCAGTGATTCACTTAACAACTGCGGCAAGAAAAGTCGTAAAATGGGGCAAAACAGCAACAGAAATTAAGGGCTCAATTGTGGTTGCAAGTCGAGGACTACCGTTGTTATGCAATGCCTGCAAAAGAGTTCTGTGTTCTGCTCTGCTCTGCTCTGCTCTGCTCTGCTCTGCTCTGCTCTGCTCTGCTCTATTCTATTCTATTCTATTCTATTCTATTCTTATTCTTATTCTACTCCTGCAAAACAGTCAGCTGGGAATAGTCAGCTGTTGTAAAATATGCAGAACCAAACTCCTTCTGTGTTTGTGTGTGTGTGTGTGTACATGTGCCTTCAAGCACTGACACTACCTGGACTGATCTCTGCAGTTTTTAAAGCTGATAGAGGAGGACTGACCCAAGATCACCCAGCTGGCATTGGTGCGGTTCACTGTATAATGAATATCCAAAAGCCGGGCTAACCAAGCGAACGAAACAGTCGAGCAACTTCAAACACCGCGAGAAGAAACGCTCGAAAAAGAGATTCGGTAAAACCCGGACCTTTGCTAGGAACGGAGACGCTCGCCTTTCTAGCCCTAGACGTCTCTATGGTGGAAGCAAGGCCTTTCTCTGTTTGGGTAGGGTAGGACAATAGAGCGGCCACCCCGCTTCGTAGGAGCCCGGCGGAAGTCCTAATGAAATCAGGGGCAGGGGAAAATCTGACTCCACCCCTTCACGCTCCCCCTCCGCCGCCTTCTCCTGGCAACGAACGCCGTAGGGTATGCCGTGACGTCATCGGGAGGAAGGGGCGGAGGGGCAGCCGTTTACCGGATGTGGGAGCGTGACGGGAGGGAGGGGAGGGGAGGGGCCATCCTGCCCTGAGGCTGCCCGGCTGCGGGGGCTGCCCGGTGAGTGGGATGCGATGGTGGTGGAGAGAGTCGAATCAGGGAGGGGCGCGGCCGGTCTGCGGCGCTTCGATGGCGGGTCGGCCGGAGGGGAGGCGAGGGTGGGGGTGGCAGCTGAAGAAGTGAGCCTTCCTTTAGGAACGGGGGGTGGGTGGGAGACGAAGCGAGACAAAGTGGTACCCCTATTGTGCTCATTCTCCTCCTCCCTGGTGTGTGTGGGTGTGTGTGTGTCTTTGAGTGTGTGTGCGGTGGGTCTCCTGCAGAAAAGATCGCGGTGCGGAACTGAGGACGAAAAGGAAGGTGCAGTCATTCCCTCCCCACCCCCCAAAATACTGCGTGGCTGTGAGCTTGGCAAGGTATTCGTAGCTAAGATGGGGAGTAATTTATGCGTAACATCAATTGCGCTGGGACAACAACCAAAAGAAAAAAACACGGATGGCCAAACGATCCTCCCGCTTCCCCAGGGATTTTAAAAAAATATCTGGTGCCTTCCAAATAGATTGAGGAAAATTTCCAGTTGCTCTTAGCCTGTTGGTGGTGTGCTACCTAGGATGAAATGGGATTTGTAGTCCCATATCTAAGGGGGCATCAAGCTACTGCAGGCTAATGGTCCTGGAGGGCAGCAGACAGAATGGGAGGAAATTAAGTGAAGTTCAGCTGAGAGAAGAGTATATATTAAATTTATTTATTTATTTATTGGTTCGATTTATATGCCGCCCTTTTCCGGAGACTCAGGGCGGCTTACAATGCATTAAGCAATAGCCTTCATACTTTTGTATATACCTGCTTAGTAGGGCTTTTGGCCCCCCATAAGCGGTGTTCTTTTTTATACAAAGTCAGTTTATTGCCCCTACAATCCGGGTCCTCATTTTACCTTACCTCGAAAGGATGGAAGGCTGAGTCAACCTTGAGCCTGGTGAGATTTGAACTTGCAGTAAATGTATATAGAGGTGGGTTATTTAAAAAAAACAACAACCCACAATAGTAAAGATGCGTATACTTAAAATATAGGATTTCTAAGCAGTTTTGTGTTTAGAATGGCTTTGAACTAGAAGTTGGAGATCATAGGGGGGAAAATGCTCATTTGATATTTTTTTATAATAGGCTGGGGCAGATTTGTTAGCCAAAGAATGCCAAACAGTTAGCTGTGCCTGGAGTTAGGAGAGTGAAATTGCTTGATTCTATTGATAAAATTTGACTTCTTCCTGTCTCTCAGTGATCAAAACTGGGAGGAGGGGGAAACCAGATGTCTATGTGGCTCTCTGACTTTTTCTGTCAGATCTCCTGAGCCCCTTGTATGTACCTTGTCACATACTCCATTTCAGTTGCATTTTTACCTAAGCAGGGTGAACAACTCTGGAAAGAACATTCAAAATTGCTCTTTCATATCTTCCTATCAGGAACTTTATGTCAGGGTCATAAGGAAAACCCAAGTTTGAGACCCACAAAGCCTGCACAATATAAATTGTGACAAAGAGATGCAAAGCCTGAGTGTTGGAATAAAAAATGTGAATTATTTTACTTAGAAGTAAATAAACGTTTTAAAAATAAAAACATGTTAGAAAATAATAGAAATAGGGAGATTGAATTGAGTGCTCACCAATAGTAGTATTTTCATCGATTCATTTAAGCATTCCGAAGTCCTTTTTACCTTCCTCCATTATAAATTTCAGAACAGCTTCATAAATTTATCTGCCAGTTTATAATCTAAATGATATTGTGTGAAAGGAAAAAAGCTGAGGGAAATAAGCAAGTGTGGACTCTAGTTCTTGAACTGAGTTTCATTATATGATAAACCCCTGGCTATCAGATGGACGGGTTATCCAGAGTCACCATGGATCAAACCAGTGGTGGGATTCAGCCAGTTTGCACCACTTTGGGAGAACCGGTTGTTAACTTT